AGGTGGGGACCAGGCAGGTATTCACCAGGGAGTGAGCAAGCAATTAACCAACATCCTAAAATGATAAATATCTGATTTACAGGTTTTTTTTAAATATAATAATAATAATAATTATTATTATTATTATTATCAATGTAAATATCTAAATACTATTAAAAATGTTATAGGCCTAGAAGAAGTACTTAAAAATACCAGAGCAGATGACACATTTAATTACCTGTATGATTAAAATTTATTAATAAATTATCAATATATTCAAAGTTACCATGGTGGGGCTTAGGTGGTCAATCTGTAAAATTTCCACACTGGATCTTTTATTCCTTTGCAAAGGCTAGTTTTCAACTTTAATACCAATAACCAGTTAGCTGCACTGAGCAGTAAATCTAGTAAATAATGTAGTATTTAAGCCAGACTTGGACTACGAAGGGAGGGAGTGGGGGGGGGGAGCCTAGCCTAAAACCTCTGTAATAAAATCGAGTCTAGGCTATGCCTAGGTTAGAGGCCTGTGTCTACATAAGGCTCTATAGTACTAGGCCTAGTAGGCCTTAAGCCTAATATAGGAGGCTAGTAGTAGAAATAGTGAATTCAAATATAGGCCTGCACTGAGGTAATAGAACACCAGGGAGGTACTATTAGGGGGACCCACTATGACACTCAAAGTAGGGAGCCTCTTGGCAATTATAAATACCTAGACCCTTCTCCCCTAAGCCAGAGGCCCGGCTTTTTCCCACACATGATCGAGCCGAAAGTTGTTCATCAAGGCTAGGCAATATGCCGGGGGCCTTGGTCTATAGGCCTAGGTTGACTGAACTTTAATGTTTTTTAAAGCATTAGAGTTAATATAAGTCTAAAATTTTAGAGAAAGACATGATATACATACCTGTATACGTACTATTTTGAATAAAAAAACCCTGTAAATGCGTGTGTTTACAGTCATAATTCGGATGAATTCCAAAATGGCTTATTTAGAAATTGGTTTAAAAATCTACGCTGGTTCCCGGCGTTTGAAGCTGTTCCAGTAAAGTAATTAAACTGTTGTAATCTGGTTGTATATACAATATACAGGACGGCATAAGCCAGATTAGGATTATATAACCCTCGCATATTGCATTTTACAAGGACAGTCACCAGTCCTACATATATGAATATGATGACAGTAGAATAATGGGGTGGTCCACTTCGGGTTCTTGTTGGTAGAATCTGTGTTGGATTTTGTGGTAGTTCTTCACGAGGCTGAGTTTGCATTTGTGGTTTTGGGTTGTGTATCGGCTATGTGTCCTGGAATTGTAATGGTATATAAACAGCTTTTTGTATCGGCTTGTTTTCTGTTACAAGAAGCAGATATTTTCTGTTTCTTCTTATTTGCGTTTCACCGGTATTGACCATATATGATCTTGGCTCTTATACACATCTAGATGTGTATAAGAGACAGGTGTAAGATAAAAAAAACAGCAGCTTAACTGGACACCACGTGTCACTCGACGGACATATGTTCATGCCTGATACGGTTTGATGAAGGATAGCATCTCTCCGTCGCTGTACTGTGGCGTGTAGATAGGATTTCTAGTTGTTTGTGATAGTAGTCTTTGTGCCGGTGATTTGAGAACATTATCTCTTGGCACATTGTGTAAGTTCAGAAGATTTTGATAGATATCTGATCCATCTCTTTGTGTCTTTTCTAACAACATCTTTGCCTGCTTTAATTACCGCATTCACTACAAGGCCATTTGATTGGGCATGTTCAGGACTACTCGTGATGTGAACAAAGTTCCATTCTGATGCGAACTGTTTGAATTGTTGACCTGAATACTGACCTCCATTGTCACTTATGAGAATCCGCGGTGTACCATGGGTAGCAAAGTGACGCTTCAGTTTCACTATTACCGTGGCTGATGTTAAGTCAGTTAAAGTATTCACTTCAAACCATCCGGAATAGGAATCTACGAGTACTAGGAAATGCTTATTGTTCCACTCAAATATATCTGTGGCAACAATCGTCCATGGTAGATCTGGAATGTTATATAAAAGTAAGGGCTCCTTGGCTTGATGTGCCTTTAGGGCATTACATACCTGGCAGGATGTCACAAACTTGTTTAAGTTCATCGCACATTGATCTCCAATAGACAATTTCCCGTGCTCTGCGTTTTGTAGCTTCTATTCCAGGATGTCCTTTGTGTAGTATTTGTGTATATGATGACTGGAGAGACCTAGGAATTATGCTTTTATGTCCTTTCATAACTATTCCATTGTCTACTGAGAGTTCATCTCTGAAAGTAAAATAACTTCGTATTTCTGAAGGGCACGACTTTGGAGTTTTTGGCCATCCCTTAAATATTGTGTTAATTAACATCAGTAGAGTGCGATCCTCTTTCGTTGCAATTCGCAGCTCTTCCTGTTTAGCATCAGAGATGTGCGATACTTCCATGACTTCATACAGAAAATCATCATCACCAGTATCTGTAGTAGGTGCTCGTGATAAGGTGTCTGCCAAATATAGCTCAGCACCTTTCTTGTATAACAACTCAAAGTGGTATCTTTGTAACTGCATTAGTAATTTCTGCAGACGAGCTGGCGCTTTGTGAAGTGGCTTTTTCACAATGGTTATCAGTGGTTGATGGTCTGTTTGTATGGTTATTTGTTTCCCATATATGTACTTAAGTGTTTGGTCACATCGTAATATGAAAGGACTGGTGGGCTTGTTATCATACTTTTAAGCTTCTCAAAAGATTCCTGCTGATGTGGTTGCCAACACCATTGCGTGTCTTTGTGTAACAACTGCCTTAAGGTGCTGCTACTTCACTAAAGTTCTCTATGAATTTCGAAAGATAGTTTGGCATACCAAGAAAACGGCTTAAAGCTTGTGTATCCTTTGGAACTGGCATCTCCCATATAGCGTTTATCTTCTCAGGATCAGGTTTTATACCATTGTCGGTTAGAAGGTGTCCAACATAGGAAACTTGACTCTGTCGAAACTTGCATTTGTTCTTATTCAAGCAGAGTCCAACCTTCTGAATTCTCTGTAGCACCTCCTTTAAATTATTGTCTTGCTCGTTTAAATCTTTACCAGTGACTAGCAGGCCATCCACAATTATCTCACAAGGACATCCTTCAAAGAGTATTTCCATTGTCCGTTGAAATACTTCTGATCCACTATTGATACCATCTCTGTAGCAC